TCTGTTGCCCAGATTGGAGTACAGTGGTGTGATTTCGGCTCATTGCAATCTCTACCTCCTGGGTTCAAGCAATTTCCTGTCTCAGCCTCCCGAGTAGCTGGGATTACAGGCATGCACCACCACACCCGGCTAATATTTTATATTTTTAGTAGAGACGGGGTTTCACCATCTTGGCAAGGTTGGTCTTGAACTCCTGACCTTGTGATCTACCCGCCTCGGCCTCCCAAAGTGCTGGGATTACAAACGTGAGCCATCGCGCCCAGCCTCATAGGTACTCATTTAATACATTGATACTACTGCCTAAATGGAAAAAGCATCATTACAAAAAAGCTGCAGGCAGGGTTCTCAAATATTGGTGTTCCTCAGAATAACCTGGGGCTTATTAAAAAGACGATTTCTGATCCTCTCCTCTAGAAATTCTCATTGGGTGGGTCCAGAAAATGGTTCAACATTTTTAAAGCACCCAGGTAATTCTGATGAAGATCATTCTAGGTCCACGCTTTAAGAAACTTTTAGCAATTCACATGCCAACTTCAAATTGCTGCTTTTGAAAGCTTTTCTTTCTAGATTTTTCTTATTTAGAGCTAATAGTCTTCTCTATTACAAGAAATTTAGTTACTATACATTTGCTTTGCTATGACTTCTATAACTTAAGACACATACTTTTCTCATTTTCTGTAACTCCCCGAATATAATGGGAATGTGAAGAATTATCTGAAGAAAAGTTATACAAACATTAGCATTAACCTGATTTTAGGGCAAATTCTTCAGAACATAAAAATGCTGCAACCCTCTATGAATGACATCCCATCTATCTTTGTTTCCAAATAGACTATTTTCACTCACACTGTTAACAGATCTTTGAGCTCTGGAACCACCACCTACTTTCCTAAAACCTCCCCACTCAACGTTTACCACTCTGAGGGTTTCCTTCTAAAAGGATTTTCAAAAGACAGCTGGCTGAATTAAGTCCTTTATCATCTGTTATAATTCCAGGAAACAGTATGGCCATCCCAAGTGGCCCTGATTGGCAGCAACCTATAAACAACCACAAGCCTTAGAGAACGGAGTACTTCAGAGTTAACATGAAACCACCTGAAGTAATTTCTATAACAGACTTCGGCAGATCTTTAAAATCTGAGAACTTGCCCGGGTTGGGGTGGCTTATGCCTATAATCTCAACATTTTGGGAGGCCGAGGACCAGGTGGATCATGAAGTCAAGAGATCAACGCCATCCTGGCTAACACGGTGAAACCCCATCTCTAGTAAGAATACAAAAATTAACCAGGTATGGTGGCACACGCCTGTAGTCCTAGCTACTCAGGAGGCTGAGGCAAAAGAATCGCTTGAACCCAGGAGGCACAGGCTGCAGTGAGTAGAGATGGGGCCACTGCACTCCAGCCTGGCAACAGAGTGAGACTCTGTTAAAAAAAAAAAAAATGAGGACTCATCTACATTATTAGACACATGTTCATTTACAGTTAGTTTATCATAAGGAATTTTCAAGCCTAGCTATACATTATCATCACTTGAAAAGCTTAAAAACAAAACAAAAATCATCCAGTAGCCATCCCCTGGTCCCAATATTGGTATAATTAGTCTGGGTAAAAATCTAGACATTGGTATTTTTCTAAGCTTCTACAAATGATTGTGATATGCAGCCAGGATTGAGAACCACTGGTTTGGTTGTAACTTTAAGGCAATCACTAGTGAAATTCTAGCATTATATGGTTATCCTTAACACCACCCTACCCAAATAATGAGTAAAAAGATGTTAAACTCCATGACTAAAATAACATTTAAAAGTTCACACTAAAAAATTTATCCAAAACTAGCATTTGTGAACTGAACATGAGGTAAGGAGAAAAACTGATTGGGTAGACAAACTACTTTAAATCTATTGGAAAAGATCCAAAGATTCATGCCAAAAAACTTTTTAGACTTCACTGGTGGTACAGAGCCAGGAGCCTGGAATGGCAGGAGGGAAGCTAGCATGGGAAGGAGTACAATTACTGTTGCCATCATTTCTGCTTGCTGGAGGACACTGTGATGAACTCTCAATTACACTTTAGATCAAGTAAAACATTACAAGCTATATTCATGAAATTACAGAAATCTCAGCCAAAAGAAATCAGTGCATGTAAATGCCAACTATAAATTTCTATGGGCGATTCAATCCAAAGTATCCAGCAAAGCATACCAAAGGTTGTTGCTATTTATCAGGTGTTTGAGCAGCAGCTACCAACACTTGAAGTCTTTCAACTAGAATTTTCAATTTGGTTCCACCCTGAACCTGATGTATTATTAAGCCTCCCTCCCAGAATATTCCATTACTCTCTATTATGAGAAAGAAAACCAAAATGGTCCAAGAGAGCTGAAGAACCAGATGGGTTTAAAAAATAAAAACATCTGATTTTTAGTACATCCCACCACCTCTCTAAAGCTGACTCAAGGTGAGAGAACATCCACTTTTACAAATAATGTACATGTGTGACATAGTACAGATTAAATCAGAGTTGATTTTTTAAACAAAAGAAGTTAATAAAATCTTCAGAGTTTAACACCATAAAACTCAGTTAGCTCTCCTTTCCTTATTTCTAAGCTAAATAATTTTCCAGTTGTTATTTTGCTTCTTACCTCCATCTGGTTTCCCCCCATTTGTTGAATTCAGGAGGTTTGCCCCCCAACTGATTTTCAGTTTCTTCCTGATTCTTGATTTCTTGATTTCTTTCTGATTCTATCTATGGCTCTACTTAAGTCCATTTTACTCAAAGTCAGTCTCTATTCACGTGTCTGAAACAGACTATGAAAAATAGACTACAAGAAACAATGCACTCCTCATGTATCCTCTTCTCTGTAAAATCATACTTCCCTTTTAGGATTATCTTTAATTCTTTCCTATATCTTACTATAATAAGCTATATAAAATATCAGCTACACACATATACCCAAAAAAAAGAAAGCCTGATATATATCCTTTGATGCTGAAAAAAACAGAGAGGTGATAATTAATTGAAGGTTGCCTGATTTTATGAATGAAGGCAGATTCTGACTTACAAATATTAATAAGTTGGCCTAAATGCTTACATAAAGTTGGTTGTTTGGAACTCAGATATTTTTTGTCTTATGAAAAGTTTTATTTGTCGAGGTAACTACACAACCCATAACATACCTGAAAAGGAACCCAATCGAGAAAAGACTGAGGAATATGTGTGGTTTCTTTTTTTGTTTTTAATGCAGGCAGGGGTTTCTAGATACTTACATTAATTAGATGATGGCACTGGCTCTAAAAATGTGTAATTTTCCTTCAAAAATTTAAATATTATCTGCTTGGATGTATATCCAAGTGTATGTAGATCACTAGTATTTTAACAGTCAATAATCAGTTACTTTTGGAAGCATAAAGGTCATAAAGAAAAATTAATCAGAGCCAACCAGTTAGGTACTAAGTGTAAGACGGAAGACAAGAATGACAGTAGCTAAGAAACAACCTCTCTAGATAACAGGGAGCAAATGTCCCCCAGGCAAAAGAACAGAATGCTGTTGCTGGGGGTAAAAAAAGAAGTAATCACAATCCTCCCTGTACTGCCCACTAGATGTAGCTATCAACCAGGTCAGGCCTGACTGCTGTTGGGGTTAGCTGGGCACAAGCAGAGGGGAAGGAAGATGTGAAACATCTGCAAACAACTGAATGCAATGAGTGCCTGCAAGTCTTTGGGACTGTATTGTCTGTGGTTTACCAGCAAAAGAAATTTATGCATGAACTGAAATACTAAACACTGATTAGACTCTACTCATTTTATCCTTTTTGTTCTGAAATTCTATCAGTGAATTAAAATCTTTCAAAACTTTACACAAAATAAGTTGAACAGAGAAGAACAATGAAAGGTAAGGTTTTTCTCCATGTAATTAAGAGATTCTATCTTAGAGCAAAGCTTTGTAAGTCAATAAATGTTCAAAAACCCCAAAAACTTCTTATGCACAAAGAGCTAAAATTGTCTTAAAATCATAGCTGCCTATCCTAATGTGAAGCATTCCAATACAAACTGAATAACATATTTAAGTTCTGTTACTTGCAGAGTAATCAAGGCAAAAGCAACTATTCATTTTATTTTATTTTATTGAGACGAAGTCCTGCTCTGTTGCCCAGGCAGGAGCGTAGTGACATGATCTCGGCTCAAGGCAACCTCTGCCTCCCAGGTTCAAGCGATTTTTCTGCCTCAGCCTTCCCAGTAGCTGGGACTACAGGGGTGGACCACCACATCCGGCTCATTTTTGTACTTTTAGTAGAGATGGGATTTCGTCATGTTGGCCAGGCTGGTCTCGCATTCCTGACCTCAAGTGATCCACCCGCCTCGGCCTCCCTAAGTGCTGGGATTACATGTGTGAACCACCATGCCAGGCTTAAAGCAACTATTCTTAATGCTTGAAGGAATACCTTCTTATTCTTCAATACATTATCATTTTAAGAAATAAGAAACAGCAAAATTGCTAAGAACATCATGGGGCCTAAATCAACACTAATAAAATGAAGTCAGACAATAATCAAATACTGTAATGTATAAGTAGTGAGTGATAGGTTTTGACTAACTAAAAAAATTAGTTAGAAAATGGCAATCCAACAACAAACCTTTGAAAACATTTCTAAAATTTTATGACTGGTAGTCAAACAAATGTTCTAAAAGTAAAAATAATAGGTATAATTAAAGAAGTGAAAAAGAAGGGTATCATTTAATATAATTCATTTATTTGATTAATCTATTTTAATCTATGTATACTTAGGACACATTTCCTAAATCACATAAATACATTTTCATTTTGAACAGTCTGACACTGTCATGAGGCTGGGCGTGGTGGCTCACGCCTGCAATCCTAGCGCTTTGGGAGGCCAAGGTGGGTGGATCACCGGAGGTCGGGAGTTCGAGACCAGCCTGACCAACATGGAGAAACCTTGTCTTTACTAAAAACACAAAATTAGCCGGGTGTGGTGGCGCATGCCTGTAATCCCAGCCTGGGCAACAAGAGTGAAAACTCCATCTAAAAAAAAAAAAAAAAAAAGTCTCTGACATTGTCATGAATTCTGTTTATTCCAACCTACAAGGTCGCTACACTAAGTTCATCATACTGGTTAAGAAATACCAGCCTGAGGCCGGGCGCGGTGGCTCACGCCTGTAATCCCAGCACTTTGGGAGGCCGAGGCGGGTGCATCACGAGGTCAAGAGATCGAGACCATCCTGGTCGACATGGTGAAACCCCGTCTCTACCAAAAATACAAAAAATTAGCTGGGCATGGTGGTG